TATATTTTTGCATAACGGTGCTTTTTGTTACCTTTGGGTTGTAATGAGCGAATGTGACATGTAGAGGTAGTTTAATGGTGCAGGACGAGGCAAAAGGAGGAATTCACCCAGGATGCCATTTATGATAACACCACCCCTGGTTTTCTACTCAAAGCCCAAATTATTATTATTTTTTTTCTTTTTCAATGTACAAAAAGCCTGTTTTTGGTATCAGATGTGTTCTTTGTTTACGTTGTTATTTACATTTTCTGTTGTCTTGTATTTGAGCCAGTTTTTAATGTCGTTTTTTGTTTTATGTTTATTTATTTGGCAGATGCTTTTATCCAAAATGACGTACAATTTTTACCTATAGGGCATGTTGTGATCTGTGGGGGAAACCAGAGTACCCGGAGGAAACCCACGCGTGCATGGGGAGAGCATGCAACTCCATGCAGACTGCAGCCGAGTTTCGAACCTGCAACCTTTTTGCGAGGCAAAAGTGTCCCCACGCAGCCCATTGCACCAATTAGAGTTTGGGATTCATTTTTCTTTATTTTAATTCCCTCCCTGTTTTCCCCTCTCAGCTCCACATGCACCTTGAGCGGCCGTTTCCCACGTCTAACGCTTAGTTTTCCTGCTTCTCTTAGGATTTTTCTGATGTTTATGTTTAGTAGTTTCCTGCGTTCTTGATGACATCTCAGACATTTGTTTTCATTATTTCTTCATTTCAGCTCTGACTCCTTGCTCAACATTTGGGTCATTTTTTAAAGCCTCGTGACACTTTTATAACGACCCAAAAATTTTAAAGAATTATAAACAAAATGTATTTAAAATAAATCACCTTGCAAATTGACATGTCTGTTAAATGTTTTAAAAATAACTTCGAGGTAATTAAATATTCTATTAGTGTATTTTTTAATATAAGCATTTTTTTATTCAAATTTCCTTTTATTTATACTATAACAGATTTTCTTTTGTGATCTTGATTTTAGAACTCATTCATGTTTTCTCATTTCGTTCTGGTTCTTTAACATTGAATTCATTATTTTTATTGTTTAGCATATTTATTGCAGAAAGCTCATACTTGGAGTTCCACTAAGTTGTTTCAAAGGTGTTTTTATAATCAACCTTGGCCTGATTTAAATTTATTTATTTATTTTTCTTCTTACAAGGTTTGTATTTTTTCCAGTGCAGCTGGTACCAAATGGTCCAGAAACAGGTACCGGCTCTTGGGTACAGGGCTGGACTGGGACAAAAATTCAGCCCGGGCATTTTGATTGGAGACCGGCCCATCACCTGGTTTTTTTGGAAAAGACATTAAGCCTTACGCTGTTTCTGACACACACCAACGTACACTTTCTTATTGGTAATATTTATGTATCAATCTAATAAACGTAAACCTACACCATCCTTCCTACCCTGGTATTCTAAAAAAGTAGGGTTGGGGGTAAATGATTATTTTTAAAATGATTATTCTGACGATTATTTTATCGAATAGTCAACTATTCTAATGACTATTTAGATGATTAATCTAGCGATTATTTTTCTATTGCACAATTAATAAAAACCAAAAAATCTTAAATAAATTCCTCCAAAAAATTGATAAGTTGTTACTGTAAGAGAATAAACACTACAGGCCTTCCATTTTGTATAACACTGCTTTTATTGTGTTGCGGTTGTTTATGTTCTGGTGACGTGTAGAACTTGGGAGTGCAGGCTGCTGCCTGAGAGGTGGTTGGAGACGGAGTGTCTCCATGCTGCTTTGTTTTGGTCACTTATGTGCATGAGGCAAGTGGTGTTACGACCCTTCCTGGGGAGTCAAGTGTAAAGGGTTAAATTTACCTAAATATTGCCTTATTTATTATCTCTTGATGTTATTAGTCCCTATTTCTGTGGTTAATTGACAATAGTTTCCTGAAATGTTTCTCCTATTTTAACTGTAAATCCTTCTAGCTGTTATATTTATAACAAGAAACAGATATTCGGACGGAATATTTTCATGTTTATTCGAATATGATTGTGGAACACACCCAGCATCATAATACATGAAGTAATATTTATGCCAATTTAAGCCTTTATGGGTGACCAGGACACTGTGATCAATTTTTGGCAAGGGAAATGATCATTTGTTGCCATTTTTGAGGTGTTTATGAATGTGGAAGACACCCAGCATCCTGTGATGGCACTAATAACATCAAGAGATAATAAAGTAATATTTAGGTAAATTTAACCCTTTATGGGTGACCAGGACACTGTGATCAATTTTTGGCAAGGGAAATGATCATTTGTTGCCATTTTTGAGGTGTTTATGAATGTGGAAGACACCCAGCATCCTGTGATGGCACTAATAACATCAAGAGATAATAAATAAGGTAATATTTAGGTAAATTTAACCCTTTACAGGTGACCAGGACTCTGTGATCAATTTTTGGCAAGGGAAATGATCATTTGTTGCCATTTTTGAGGTGTTTATGAATGTGGAAGACACCCAGCATCCTGTGATGGCACTAATAACATCAAGAGATAATAAAGTAATATTTAGGTAAATTTAACCCTTTACAGGTGACCAGGACACTGTAATGAATTTTTGGCAAGGGAAATGATCATTTGTTGCCATTTTTGAGGTGTTTATGAAGAGACCCAGCAACCTGTGATGGCACTAATGACATCAAGAGATAATAAATAAGGTAATATTTAGGTAAATGTAACCCTTTACAGGTGACCAGGACACTGTAATCAATTTTTGGCAAGGGAAATTATCTTTTTTTTTTTTGTTGCCATTTTTGTGGTGTTTATGATGATACAGTAGGCAGTATGAGTACAGTAACATCAACAGATAATACATAAAACCCTTATTTGGTCAATTTTAGCCTCCATGAAAATCTGAGCGATTCAATCACTTTTTGGCAAGTAAAATGCCATTTTAGTTGTCTACAATTAAATCATCAATAAAGAATTTAAAGATATTTTGAGGCGTTTCTTATAGGTAAACGGGAGGGTGTAGTCTATTTGGCAAGTGACCAATCTTAATTGTATGTGCTGAAGAGCTTTTATCTTGTTACTTTTAAATAGAGCAACGTAATGTTTAGCAACCTACACAGTGTCATTGTAAAGCCAAAGCTTGATCAGTTTAAATACTTTTTTTCAAGTAAAAATGTGCCCCAAACTAGTTAACTGTGGCTCCATGTCAAGTGGACTAAAGAAAGGAAGGGGAAAAAATTAAATCGCTGGAGAATTGTTTATTTACATTTATACAACGTTTACATTCAATACAGGGTGCCATTTTACATTATTTATTTTTTTAGTATCAAGGCTGTAACATAAAGAAAGCCAGTTCTTACCACAAACCATCTTTCAATCGCAAATATTGCAAAAAGGATTAATATATCCTCATTGTGAACGTTTAAGACAATTAGCAACACTTAAAACAACTTCCGAACTGGAAAAACTAACGTGGCAAGGTGGATAAACGACGGCCCGGGTTGTATTCGATCCCTAGATTTTCGGGGTGAGAGTCATACGCTCTAACCAGTCAGCCAAAGGGACATCCCCTTGACCAAATATACAGGGTGCAAGATCAATCAAGACATTGTGACAGGATGCTCACACTGCCACCTCTTCCTCCCTCTTTCCACAAGCACGTCCTCGTGCTCCCGCGCAGGGTGCCACAAACACTGCCACACTAATATCCGCGATAAACATCTGTTTAAGTACCGGAAGAGGTTATCTTTGCTTTCTGAATGTCCATATTGCTAGATATGCTGAGTTTTAGGGCGAAATCCTGGGGAATTTTGTCTAGAAATGCAATTGCCTAACCGTGCGCGATCCCGCGGTGGCTAATCATTTTTTGGCAGCGAGTCAATTTATGGCACAACACCGGCTCGGGTTTCTCCTCCTCCTCCCTCTTTTCTTCTCCAACCTGTCGCTGGGCTGAGGCTCCATCACTTCCTAAATTGATTTTACTTGAACCTTCACTACCAAACAACTGTGAGATTTTAACACATGTGCCAGCATCAGCCTGAAGGGCCAGTTTCTTTTTTAGTCGAATTTTCTCCGCTCCTCCTTTCCGTTTTTTGTTCTCCATTTTGTAAAGCTCGTCTGTCTGTTTACTGAGATTCACAAACAACTGGCGGGTGCATCAGACCTCTGGCTATTGGTCCAGCCCAGAGTGTATTATTACCAATTGGCCAATCCACCAACTTTTACGAGGCGTCGCGTGGGGCAGCGCGGACAAGTTGTCTGCAACAACTAGAGGCCAGGGGAAAAAAAAAAAAAAAAAAACAGACACCGGCCCATAAAAGATGAAAGGGTCGGCCCAGCGGGCAGTTGCCCGCTATGCCCTATGGTCAGTCCAGCAGTGCTTGGGTACCATCTTTGGACTCCAACCCATTTAATTCAGACTGATGGGGCAACATCCAACTGAACAGATGGAAAAAGTTCAGCCGACCTAAATCCAAGAAGAGCCAATCCACTAATGGGAAATGTTCAAATCTGTGTGGTGGAAAATATTGGTATTGGAGTTCGCCAGCAAACTGTTGTTGTTTTCTTTGTCCTTTTGGGTTTCTTCTGCTCATTTTTAGACACTGTTTATTCGTCTTTGTGTTTAGGTTCCTCTCCACTGATGCGCATCCCTCATCACCTCCTCTACATGAGAAGCTTGTTAGAGGACATAAATGTTTCCTCAAGAGGTCTCAACGCCAAATCTGGGCCACATCAGATTGGATTTTTTCTTTTGGACAAGGGAGGGCTGATAAAAATCACTCCGCCGGTTCTCCAAATGACACACATGTCCACAGTAAAAGCATTGTGTCCCCGAGTGTCAGGATAAATCCGTAAATCCGCTTTTATTTAAAAAGAAAACAGCAGCGACTGAGAGGGAGCAGGAGAAGAAAGAAGCGCCACAATGTGGGAACACAGGAGATTAATATAAAAACATCACATTGGACATGTTACTACAGCAGCCATGTAGGGAGGAGATGCTGCAGTTACACAATGAGAGCGGACCGTTAACCGTTACCAACCTTCATCCCGGGATGTGATGAGATATGACGGCCGTGGCGGTGATTTCGCTCCGATAGCCGGACAGCCTTCGGTCTTGTTCACTACTCAGCACGGAACCCGCCGGTCCTCCTCCCCGCCTGCGCGCGGTCCTTCATGTGGGTTCGGTGTCGGTTTAGAACGCAGTTGGATCAGCGTTCAGTCGCGCGCCCAGACTCCTCGTGCTGTAAAAAGGGAGGCGGATGCCTCGCTCCGATATTGGATTTTCTCTCTCCCTCTCTCTCTCTCTCTCATGCGCGCGCGGTGGTGACGCATGGGCGCGTGCTGCATGTCGGTTAGGGGGTGTTAGCATGTGAGAGTCCATGGTTATGATGTGGTCATGAAACACACACACAGCCCCAGTACTTTATATGATGAGACGTGTGCTGTTTAACAGCAAAATAAATAACACATTTTCTCAACTGAAAATAAAGAGTTGAGAGGAAGAAAAAAAAGATTTGTTTTTCTGGTGCTTTGTATTTTAAATCCAGCATATATGTTTTGACAATGGGTAAATACGATGGTAAATACTAAATCTTGTTTTTAAATATTTCATTCATTAAAGGGATACTATGTCACTTTCATATTTTTTAATCATTTTCTTGAGCCAGTATGTGCTAAAATGACCATTTACAGGGTTAATGAAATGTCACTCAAATCGCAACTGCCCCTATAGCCAGAATAACGCATTTGCAACGTATGAGTGCTGGTCCAGTCTACTTGCCTCAGAAAAAAATGGAGCTGACATAACTGGCACTGCAGAGGCTGGGGAGACAATTCGGATTTCAGATTAAGGCGTTAAAGTCAAAACTGCCTAGTCTCCCTTTAAAGGGGGGGAGGAACAGTTGTCCAAACCAAGTTACGTGGAAAAAGTGTAATAGCCGTCATTACATTATTTGGATATCCGAAATCAATTCAAGTCCGTCATTACCACCAGATATTTAGAACTAAGGAGCAACTTCAAAAGAACCTGTCTGATAACATGAAGCGGGCTAAAAGATATCAAAAAGCAACACACCAACATCTGAAGAACTGCACGTGTCCCCTGCTTAACATTAAGAGGATAAGTCATGATTCAATATTATGAATGAGAATGGGCAAAACTGCCTCTCTTTGAATGGTACTAAAGCCTGATTTAACATCTAACATTTCAACAACTAGTGCCTTCAGAGGCTTAAGGCAAAAACTTAGATGTACTAGGCAAACTATCAAAGTCCACTGCAGAGGACTATCTGTCCAAAGGATTCAAAAATATCTGACAGCTCCTCCTAGGTGGTGTTAATCCCAGGTTATCCACAAAGTGCTTCATTAGCTATTGCACTTAATTCCTTCTCCTATTCCCATTTTAATTAAGTATTTAGGAAGTTGTCAGCTGCGCCTTTTTAATGATTCTGCATTTTAAAAATAAGAACGTCATACTATTAGTGAAGCATAGTCTGGGACTAGGCTGCTGCTTCTGGACCCGGATGCCTTTCGTTAAAGTCCACACTGATAGATATTAACACAAAGAATTTCTCCATTTATGAAAATATCTTCATCTACATTTCTCTCAAACTATCACTGCATCCTAATTAGTTCTTTAAAAGTTGCTCTTCTAACATTTTTTTTAATCCCAGCTTTTGTACTAAATGTAATATTCCCCCCATGTGTAGGGTCTCAGTGCTCAAACTGACAAAATACAAGTAGAAATAACAAAACATCCAAAAACCAGTTTTACAGTGTAAAGTCTTTGTTGAAGCTATTTAGTTTATTATAAGCTTAAGTTATAGCCTAGTTTATTTTCTTTATTTTACGCTAAAGTTAATTTGTGTTGCATTATGCTTTATATTATTTTGGTTAATTAGTTTGTTTAATGGTCAGGTGTGGGTGATTATTTGTATAAATAGGTCAAGGTGGGAGGAGCAGCCAGAGCTGCGAGGGGACACGGTTTTTTACCACAGAGACGGAGAGGAAGCAAAAAATCTGTGCTCTTGCTTCTTGTGAATAAACCACCACCAAACGCAATTTTGGCATGGACATTGTTTGATTTGAAATCTTTTTACCCGTGCGTAAAGCCTAAACCTTGACGTAGCCCAGTGGCCATTTGAAAGTATTTGATTATTTTCTTGTTTAAGTTTTATGGACAAATAACCACTACAGTCTAAATGAACAAGAAAATACCTCATTCATCCTCAGATGATTTCACTGCTTCAGCTCACGAGGAGGTGGGTGAAGGGCTTTATTTCCCCTGTGGTGCAGACAGTCATTTAGTCTGGGAACACAAAGGCTCTTGTTTCACATCCCTCTCTGTTTGCTGCTTTTAAGAAATCTGTCATTTTTTACTTTTCCTCTTTTTAAGCACTTGCTCAGGTCAACAAACAGTTGAGTTGCTCAGAATGTTCCTCAAATACCAGCCATAGTAGCTTATGGCTATATTAGCATTTATCATTTAAATATTTATACTGATTCATCGTTGTGTAAACTGCTGGGTTTATAGCGATGCAGTCGCTGAGGGTGGATGGGGATCTGAGGGCCCTGCGTGGGGGGAGAAAAATACAGCAGAATGAGAACCATGACAGAGTTTCTGGCTCTTGTTCCAATGCAAGAACAAGTTAGAAGGGTTGCATCAGCATGAGGCATTTGAAACAAAATACTGATGCAGGTAAACTGTTAATTACATTTTCAAGTAGAAGACAGAATTTTGATCATTTCAAAAGTCCTACAACCATTAGATGTCACATCATTGCAGTGCTGCTGTAGCCTGGCAAGCCATTTGTAACTATTCAGTCTGGCCTTGACCCATAGACAGAGCTCAGTTGTGGGGGCGGAATCAATGGCTGGCTTTCAAACTGTCTTTCCATTCAATTGGTCAGGTCAGAGCAATGAAGGTCACATATTCAGAGACAGAAATCAGTCAACGGGGCAGTCTGCCATTCACTGTTGAATAAGAAGTAGATAAAGTATCTCTATAGATCTAACCAAGTCTACAATTAGGGATGCACCGATGGATCGGCATTTGATCGTAATCGGCCGATAGCGCCCCTATCGGTTTTGATCGGAATTTTCAAAATAGATCAAAGCAAACCGATCAGGTAGGGTTGTCACGGTAACCAGTGTAGCACTAAACCCCGGTAAAAAAAAAAAAAAAAAAGTTGACAATAATAATAACCGTCTTGTTTTTAAAAAACTATTATCTTGGTGGGTTTACCGTGGCTGCGGTGTAGGCGCGGTGACCCTTACCAGCCACCGTATCATCTGCAGAAGTTGCCAGCGGCACATACACGCTTTGTTTACAACAAAACTTTCTTGAAGCTAAAGCTGAAATAATGGTCAAAGGAGGAGACGGCAGCGCTCAGGAGGACATTTATTATCCCTCAAAGAAGACAAAGTCGGAAGTACGGGCATATTTTAGATATTTGAAGAATGCCGAGGGAGTTTATAGAAGACGGGCGGCTATCCTGTTTGCAGCACGAGCAGAAAAAGTGTCTGTGAAAGGCAGCAACGCTTCTTATCTCATGACACATCTGCGTGACCATCACCCACAACTCTACAGTCAACGCAAGGCAAGTTAACGTTAGCGTTTTAGCTAAAATGCGTGATCCGAGGATTTGGGTTGAGGGCGAATGCAATGAGTCGCTATATAAAGCAGCCGCAGGGCCGCTACCTGCATATAAACAGTGTCGCGGACACCCCCATGTTGAAATGACGCTATGCATTACGGGGCTCCCAGGGGCAGATAAGAGTTGGTCTCTCTCCGAGAATAATTATGAATTTAACAGTGATTACTGCCTGATGACATTTTCCCACATCTGCAAAGCTCACTGGAAGGACGCAAACCGAGGACAATATTTTCCATAAATGCGGATTGCTCAAGTAAGGGTAAAAAAAAAGTATCTGATTAGAAGGCTACTCGAGTACTGAGTATCATCTGATCTAATATTTTTAAATGATGACATCAAACAGACATAAAATACGAAGTTATGGGCAAATATTGGTATTTTAAAGACTAATGGGGAAAAATGTAAACAAATAAACAACATAATTACAAAATAACACATTTTAGGCAAAATTTAGACGCAAACTGAGGACAATATTTCCTGACATACAGGGTTTATTTAATTGTGTGAAAATGTAGCACGTTTAAAAAAAATACCGCGATAATACCGAAAACCGTGGTAATTTTGGTCACAATAACCGTGAGGTTAAATTTTCACACCGTGACAACCCTAATACAGACCATTTTAGATTAGGTTACATTTCCTTTATTCCCAGATTATGTAGTTTGTAGCACTCATTATAATGTTGTAGAAAATTTCTGGCCAATCCACGTGTTCGGTATCGGTGATCGGTATCGGTGATCAGCATTCTTTGATATCGGTATCTGTGATCGGCAGCAAAAAACCTGATCGGTGCATCCCTATCTACAATGTCCAAAGTTTATGCCAAAGCCGTTTCAAACAAGTATCGTTTCTGAGCTGTTATTGTTTTGGTCTTTTGCAGCTCTGTCGTCCTCATACAAAGACAAAGCTCTGCTATGAAGGTGCTAAGCCTAGAATAGAATAAGGCCAATTCCAGCAGAAGCAAAATAATTTTGCTTTTTTTGACAGTCTAGAAACACCACATTGGAACCTCCAGTCCCAGCTTTGTGGCTGGCCAATCACAGCACGTTTATTTAGGAAAAACTATGTAATTTCGTCTTTATCCCTGCTTCTTCCACGATGTTGACTGACATCTGCAGCAGTCCATTCACAGTACTCAATTGGTTTGGTGGGCCAATCACAAGCCTATATCAATCAGGTGGGCGGGATGTTAGTGCGAAAGAGTGAAACTAAGATGGCAGCTGCTCTGTAGCTAGGATAAAGAGTCAGGCGTCACACAAGCTTGTAAATCTTTACAAAAATGCACCTTCAGTCGATAATGCAGTTTCACATACAGCATATGTGCATTGCCCCTTTCACACATAAATTATGATGATCGTAATCCATGTTTTTATTCATTTGTCAGAATGAAAATTGTCAGATTTTCAGTTAACAACTGAACGATTTTATTAAATTTCACCCCAGATATAACCAGTAGGTATTCTTGCATAGCACAAACGCTAGAGTCCAGTGTGGTGGCTCATGTACAACCATACCATCATGGGTTCAAATAGCTGTTTACTGACCAGTCAGAGTTAAAGTGTTAAAAGTGTAACTGAATGAGGAACTCAAACAATACAAAACATTTATACTTGTTTAGTTTTCCTCTCAATGTTCTGCTCTTTTGGCTGGAATTTCAAATGTTTGGAGCCGACAGTGTTCCGAATTTCACTAGTTTTGTAATAATCTGATTAAAGTGAATTTAACATTAGTTTGTGACAGATCAGATTGGTTTGGGCGTCGTATTTGGTAGCCATTACATTATAAAGCCACAACCTGATTTGGCTCATTTTAATGGCAAATTGAGATCAATATTGACCAAAAACAGCCTTACAAGTTTTATTTTATTGAGTTTGCAGATTTTTCTAAAGCCCAATAAACAAGTAAATCAGTTTTAGCGTGGTTATGGGAGCAGTTTCTGTCCACTTTTTTACGTGTGCTTGGGATTAATGTGGTTTTAGATGTTTTGTAGGAATCAACTCCCCCGGCTTTCCCTGACCTGCCGTCCCGTTCTGACACCAAGATAGGAGCCAGAGGAGTGAGAGAAAGAGCTGTTCTCATGTTTCTTCCAGCAGACTGCTGGGCCTTGGCTCTGACTAAAAGAAGACATGAAGTGTTCTCACTTTGTAAAACTTTGCATTTCCGTTATGACTCGCTTTGCTTACAAACTCCAATAAACTAATAAAGCAGAAAATGACACATAATTTTCCTCTCTGTCCAAACAAGGAGGCACTCCAGTGTATCTGTAGCAGACAGCTGTCAAATGTATCCAGTAATGTGCCATTTTTAAATATTTTACTGCAGTTGATGGGGGTTTTACAAAAGGTCCCTTGTCTAGTTACCATCTATAAAAACAGCCGTTAATTTGCTACAGTGCGTTCCATTACTGTTGCAGCAAGTTGTTCACTTTTCAGCTCATTTAAATGCACAAAGGAACGTTAATATGTACATTCAAAGCAAACAGTTTTGTGATTTGCGGGCCCTCGAGGCAAGAACAAGCACGAGGCCTCCTTCATGCATTATTCGCTGGATTTGCGTAACAAGAGTGTTTGGTAACACTGAGAATGCTAATTATTATGGATGCAAGCACTGACCTGGTGTTTTCTCCTGTCTCAGAGCATAGACTGTTTCCAAGATGCAATAAATAGCCACAAAAAAAACTGTAGAAGATGTCAGTTTTTGAAATTCTCTTTGTGAAATGTTCTTTTCCCTTCAGCTTAACACTGTTTAAAGCAAATTGTTGTCCGACACTTATACGCTGAACTCTTAACCCATTCAAACACTGACAAAACAATCAAATTTAATATTTTTATGAATTTCTATGCAAAAAAAGCGTTAGATATTGGGAGTGATTTTAGTTTCAAAGATGTTAATAAATGATGCGTTTTCCATCTTTAAATAAATGGATAGAAGTTTGTTACATTGTCGTTAAAGACAACAACGGTCACTGAAGTAACTCAAATCTGACAAAAGCAATAAAATATTTCTTGATCATCATTTAAGGAAACTCAATCGTTGCGTTTGAATTGTGGTTCAAACAAGTAATACAAATAACAATGTGGGCAATAATGATTGTCTACGTACAAAAGATTAACGATCATCTGACCACAATGACATGTTAAACTAAGGTGTGTTCTGCAATTAGGATCACAGGTGTTTTGATGAGTAATTCCACTTGTTTAAATGGGTAATGGTGCTGTCTGGCATCAGGGTGTGTGCTAAGCATAGGTTGATATTTTGAGTCGACATTATAGCGTACCAAATGGCCAACCATTTCACCAAAATGACCACAAGTTCATTTTTAACTTAAAGGCCAAACTTAATCATACAGGTCAATCCGACACCATAACGCCGATATGAAGGCTATGAACTTGAGCCAATAATCTTAACTAATCCTGCAGTATGTCACGAGTCCTCAAGGCTGCAAGACTATCCTCTTTGAATAAAGTCCATCTTCTCTGGCTCATCAATTACTTAAAACTTCATAAGTTCATATTTTATTAGATGAACAATATGTTTAAATCCAAAGTGGTTTAATAAAGTGTTCTACAGTGACACACTGGTGGTGATGAGCTATGATTGCAACAGCTGCGCTGGGGCACACTGAGAGGTGGGACCTACCGAGCACCGGTGCCACTGGTCTAGTTCACTGGGCTACACAGCAGCTGCATTCTCTGGTGGGAGCCAGAATGGAAACTGCAACCTTCCCATTACTGGAAAACCTGCTCTAGCTCATGTGCTAATGCTGGAACTAGGAAAATGGACATTTCTCCAGTGCTGGATTCTCTTCACCGGCTTCCAGTCTCAAACCAGGCAGTTTAAAATTCTGCTTTTTGTGCTTAAGTATTTCCAAGGCAGTGCCCCCACCTAGTTAGCGGAGCTCTTAAAGCATGTTCCCTCAAGGTCATTACGGTCAGTTGACCAAAAATTGCTTATCGTCCCTCACACCCGATTTAAACCTAGTTGTGATCTGGCTTTTTAAGTTGTTGCACCCTCTCTCTGGAACCAGCTCCCACTCACAAACAGTCCCCATCACTGGCAGTCTTTAAGAGCAGGTTGGACTTATTTCTATAGGATGGCTTTCTCCTAAAGCTTTTGGTTTCTGGTTTGTATTTTTTGTTTAGTTTAACTAAAATTTAATTTTCTTTTTATCTCATTGGTATTTCATTGTTCTCACAAATGTTTATGTTCTTATTTTGTTTAAGGTTTTTATGACTTGCTATTTTTATCCTTGTTACCTTTCTTGTCCAGTGCCTTGGGCCCCCTTTGAGGGCGGTGGAAAGCGCTATATAAATAAAACTTGATTGGGGATCAGAAATGTTGCTCGTCCTCTGTTATGACATTTTAGCATGCAGGTAAGGTGCAAAACGTCTTAAAATCTGCCCCAAAAATCGGCAGCACATCTCCACATCGGCATCAGTATCAGCCATAACCCATATTGTCAATCTGTTTGGAGTACCGCACAGAACATGGACCACAGAAAGCTCAGGAAAGAGTCATCTCGGCAAATTAAAAACGATTATAGACAAGACTGCTAAGAGAAAGACTACAAGACCATTTCTGAGCAGCTTGATGTCCCTCTGACTACAGCTGGACAGACAATGAGGTCTATGGTGTACGAAACTGTAGACAACCAATGTGCACACAAAAGGAAATCTAATAAACCGAAGAGACGCATTATGAAAGGAGCCAAGAAGAACTTCCAAAGAGATTAGCAATAAACCCCAAGGTCAAGGCACATCATTGTCAGAGCAGACCATCTGTCTCTGAATCATAGTGGAGTTAATAGAAGACTGAGGAGGACGCCGTGGTCGAAAGCAAATCAAACTCCATCATACCCCTGTCGTTCAGATAGATGAGAACATGGAGTCACACCAGCTCCATGTTCTCAGATTCAAAAATGAAGAATCCAGACAAAAGAAGCATGGACCTACTGAGAAACATGGAAGCGGTTCTGTTCTGGGGCATCTTTGCTGCATCTGGGCCAGTGTGTCCTTAGTAATCTCACTGGTTTCGTTCTGAAACAAAGTGATGCCCATGCATCAGAAAACTGGGTTAAAGGTTATGGGTCCTCCAACAGGAACACACATCCAAACAAGCTTTTTATTCATGAGCCAAAGGAATTGTCAAGCCTGCCCCAGTCCTTTTCCACCCACATAAATTTTGAAAAATGCAACGAAGACGGATGGGCAACAGGGCGAAGCAAGCCTTTTTCACTCTGAGCAGTTATTAGAAGTGGAGGACGTTTCTCCCCCCTCCTTAAGCTTGGTTTATGCTTGACGCGTCCGCGAAGTTCGCACGGCTCCGTGCGGCAAAAATTGCATCATTTTAACAACCACGCCCCTCCACGGCCCAAACTTTCCACACCAAGCACCTAGGAAATTTTCTAATCACGCGGACGGTTATGTTTTTTTTAACTAAATCTCAATTTATAATTTCCTGTTTTTGTTCATGTCCATAAATCTTTATACAGTTAAATTTTAAATGATCTTTTAATAGTGAGGTGCCAATATAATTCATCACATTAGAGCTACGGTAGTTAAATGTGCAACAAAGTATTTAATAAATGTAATTTATAAATTTCATTAAAATGTAAACAAAACTGGAATTAAAAAAAAAAGACATTTTGGCAGCACAAAGAACTTGTAAAACACATTCAGCATTTATTATAATTGTAGGCAGACAGGAGACAGAGCTGATGCATTGAAGGATGGCCAGAGGCTTTCCAGGAAGACACGATGGTTCTCTCTCTCTTCTGCTAGAGGAGCTGATAGGTGTGAGGACAAATTCATGCTGTCAAAACAAGATGACAAGAGTTAACAGGTGATCAGCCAGGCTAATGAGGCAGAAAGAACACAAATCCAGGACAGTGTACAACTATAATAATAATCTGTGGTGTTGCTCACCTTATGTGCTCTTATAGAGTATTAACGTGTGCCTGCCTCTTGGTTTAGTGTCCAAATTTTGCTGAGTGTCCTGCAATAATGCAGGTTATTAGTTAATTTACTTTTGATAGCAAAAACAAAATTTAATGTAAAAGTTATTTACCAAGTGAATCAGCTCACACGTCACCACCAAGTGTCACAGGACCAGAATCAGCAGCCTCCTTCGTGATGTCATGATGTAATCTAGCTCACAGCAGCAACACACGTGTAGCAATAAGCTATGAAACAAAAACGGTTCATGTTAAAACGTGAAGGCTGTAATGAAGATTACATGATTAAAAACAACTCACCTTTACTACAAATGCAAGGCTTCATGTTAGGCTGCAACAATCAGTCTGAACAGCACATTTCTTGGGTTAATTTAGCTTGAAAGAAACAAATTATAACATCAGTGTTGTGGGAGGTAGTTCCAGAGATGAGAAACTTGTAGAGAGTGAAGTGAGAATGGAGCTACAAGTCTTTCTGTTAGAAGTTCAGAATGACCGGAGGTAAAATGGGATGTTAGTGTAATTCTGGAAAGCTTCTCTCCAGTGGTGATCAGACAGGCTGAGATGTGAGAAAGAGAATAAAGAGTACAATATTCTTATTTATAATAGTGTTTACCTAGAACAGTTCATAGAGCTTGTACCATCATTCAGATGGAAGCTGCTCTCCACCACACCTGGGTCTGTCTGTTCAGGAGTGTAGAGCTGCTCTGGGTGGAATTCCCATCATGGTCCCAGTGTCAGACACACTGCTACTGGGAGGCTATGTGAAATATAAAGAAACAGCAAATATATTTAGTTGTTTTTAAGAGCAGCAACACACGTGTGTAACAATAAGCTAAAATTACATATTAAAACCAGAAGGTAAAGAAAGACTGATTGTTAAAAAAATAATTCGCCTGTGATGCTTCTAGTCTGGACCGGTGCAGGCTGGTGGAGGACTACATCAGCCTGACAGGTTAATTGGGCAGATTATGCATGAAATAAAAAAAGTTAATGTGGGAGTTTAGTAATTTAGATCATGTACAAAACAGACTGTCCAACATATGAGCTTCATAACATTGCTGGTGAGTGATCGGACAGCTCTCAGAGCTAACTCAGAATCAAACATGTTCTAATGAGAACCGGACTCGGCACCAGTTCAGATTGAACCGGGTCGGCACTGATGCAGAACAGGAGGGACACTGAGGAGTAGCTCCTCCTGCAGCTAAAAAGCGGACATTACTAATTGGCAGGAGAAAAACTCAACCAGACCCATCTAACATTACACACACGCACGCACGCTCTAAGCCTGCGGCAGTACTAGCTAAGTTATGTGAACCACGTCCACGTCTTGCTTTTTAATTACAAATACAGCAAATATAGCTGCAAAATTACAGGTAGGGAACCATCTTTAGAAGCTGTTATTTAGCTTACTCACCTCAGATTGGGCCCAAAATCTCCGTTTTGAGGAAGCAGCAGTCGGCGGGATCGGACTAATTACTGGAACGGCTTGGACTAATTTGTGAAACGCTAATTAAACCAGCATAACCCGGTTCAAATTCCCATCAAGTTGGTGAAAGACTCACATGTAAAAAAAACACACTAAACTACAATCCAACAGCCAAGCTACTAGAACTAAATAATTATAATGCTAGAAGCTTTGCTGGGACTCTTGGCACAACGCTAATGCTAACTACAGCTAACTTGCAGCTAATCCGAGCCCTGCCTGCTACAAGGCTGGTTTAGACCGTGATACTTTTATAATTCTACAGCCACAGAGCTGATACGTAGTACTTTTCTTTAGCCATTGGCTAAAACAGACTCAAAATAAACGTGTTCCATACTTTTGAGCTGAAGAGGGAGCTAGACTGACGTTCTTAGGCAGAATTTACAGTTTTCAAAGAAAATGCATCAAAATGCTGTAGTCTAAAACACTAGACACTCATTTATACTATTCATCAGCTAAATAAAGTTGATTTTGATGTGACTTGCTCAGTGTGCAGAAGTTTTAATGAGAGTTACAGAAATTGCTCAATTGTCTCAAAAACTTGTATAAAAAGTCTGATGAGTCAGCATAAAACTTACCGGGAAAATGCATGCACGGAACTGAAGAGCACACAGGGAGAAGATAGCATCAGGGTGATAATAGAAGGATCTGACAGTAATGAAGTGGGATGTATTCGTCTTCTGGGAGAGTGATTACTGACAGAGAACAGCTGAGGTAGACGGATGTAGGGCAGGTGTACATAATGAGCGAAGTAACTGGGGAGATGAGGGGAAACAAAAAAAGCAATGGGAAAATGGCTCAAGGGTCTATATAGATACAGAAATAAAACACTGAAAAGAAATAATGAATATAAAAAATGGAACTTTTGTGAAAACGATTATTGGGACAGTCTAAGAGGTAAATGCATTTTTTATCAAGTTCCTTTTCATTTTACATATTGATCTATATTGTATTGTATGGCATCATGAAATGTATGGTATTGTATTATGTCACATTGTATGTCACATTGTCCCATTATTTTGTATAATAGCATATCACATTGTATTAAATCACATTTCATTATACTGTTTTGTGTCACATCTTGATCACGGCACCTTGATAAACAGACTTCATAACTTGGTGGCAACCTCTGGAACGTTTCTAGACAGGTTCAGGTCATACCTTTCTAACAGTGTCTATAAACCAAACCATGTCAGATTCTACCAATCTGTTCTGTGGGGTACCCCAAGGATCTGTTTTGTGTCCATTCCAATTCATACTATATATACACACGTGCTTGGTCAGATAAATGATTCATTTCATGATGTCTCCGTATGTACAGTCTATGGATGTCTCCTATGTGGGGATGACATTCCGTTACACAGCTCCTGTTATTTTAACTCTGAACTACTTGGAAAAGACAGAATCTTCTAAAAGTTCAAAGATCTGATGTAGAAGACGAGGTGCTTGCCCTTTCCAGACTGTGGCATCTTGATTTTATAATGAACTTACTTTATTTTGACATTGTATTAACAGTCCTCAAGAAGCAGCTTGTTACATCCCCGACAGGAGGTGTTAAAATGTGAAGGAGGGGGTAACATAAGAAGCATGATATTGGGTTTAAATGTTATGAAAGGTTCTAAAAACAAGTGCAAACAGATGGCGAGCATTATTAAAATAATGCAAAACAAAAAACTCACTATAAGGTTAAAAGACAACTTATCAACTATATAAAAACACCTGGTTAAAACTTTATTAAAAGTTTCAAACTGAAGGTGTTTTAAAAACACAATGACGCTGATAAAAGTCTAAAAACCAAAACAGAGTTAACCTTATAACAAGCACTCTGGATCACTCAAGAGTTAAAACTATAGAAGTTAAAACTCAGCTACTCGAAAGGGTTGCATACACCATGAGGCCTGGAGGACAGCAGAACCCCTGGCCTGCTGCCTCCCAGACTGCTGAAGGCACCGCCTTTTTATCCCAGGTGAGTGTCGTCAGAGAGATTCAGGTCAGCTGTGCTCCTCAGCAGCCTGGAAGAGAGGAGGATGAGGGGCGGTGTCTGGCTGATCACTGGGGCTGGGTGATCCTGGCTCCTGCACCTGAAGAGGCCAGGCTGGTGGCTATAACACAGCTGAAGGCCCTTTTATCTAAATTTGCTTTTACCTACACCTTTTGTGTTTTCTTTATCTTTTGTGACTCATTCATTTCCCTATCTTTTTGTTTTTATTGATCTTTGTGAAGCACTTCAGGATTTTTCTTGTTGTGCTATATAAATAAAGTTTACTTACTGACTTACTACATCACCTTAATAGGTGATTCTGCTCCCCATGGGGCCGGCCTGATTATGTTAGAAAATGAGGATGTGAATCTTATTACAGCAATCGGATTAATCAAAGCAACAAACAACATGACAGGGACAACAACGGGACAGTCCCACCATACATCGCCTAAGATGAAGTACCTCTGACTACTCATGTCTCAAAGAAAAGCCCAAGTGTAAACTGTATCAAACAAGAGCCACCACCATGTTTGTAGTTTTGCTCCGTCGCAGCTCTGTTATCGTTAAAAAAAAAAAGAAGAAGCAATGAAAAAAGCTCTGCAGCAATGGTGCTAAACTGCCCAATGTTTTTCTACAAACAGAGCTCTGTGATTGGTTGGACCTACAATTAGCCAAGCCAATGGTAGACCTGCTGAGGCTATAATGGAGCATGGCTAAACTGATCTGCAGAACTAAATATTTTGTTACACTTTTTCTAGATTCCTTGGCTAATAAAGTGTACAATTTGTATAATACTGTTGTAGTGACTATCAAGTCCCACTTTTAGTCACCCTCGGGTGCGGGTGGAGGCAATGACTCGCTTCAACAATATTGTCCAGGCAGAAAGCGGGTTTGGGTTTATTGTCCCATTTATTGAATATGTTGACGATCACAAGCTGGGTCCACAATGGCTATTTCTTGTCCAGGTTTATGTAAATGATGACAATTATAACAGCAAATTAGATGTGGCATATGAAACCAAACGAAGCGGTAAAAACCGTGTGACCTCCCGTCACCCACAAAACGCCAGTGCACTGCAGCCTCAACACCTGTATAGGCTCCACAGTGCCACCAGTGGTTAAAGGAAATACAAACCAAAGTGCAATAAACTGAAATGTACATAAAACATTATCAAAATAAACTTAGACCATAATATAATCTAAACCAAAACAATATTGGCTCCTACAACTGTAATGTATTCAATTGTATTGGATCAAATCAATTTGTTTTGTATTTAATCATATTTGGAGTGGAAAATATACATGCATGTAGATATGTATTATACTACGTTATATTATATCCTGTTGTATTTTTATTTGTATTACAGTGTTTTTGTAAATGTATTGAAAAGCATTTGTTGTATGGGTGGGGTAAATATGGCCATCCATGAGTGATCTTTATTAAAAGCCAGCATGATACACTTAGTCTGATGACATGTGAGACTTAGGGCTTATGAAGTTCATCCAGCATCAACAGAAGTAGACAGAAATTCAGAAAATGTTGATTGGTCCTACTGGCTTCTGAAACCTGTGCACATAACCTTTTACAATAGCACCCACTCTGTATTCTGAGCCTTTATGGAAGCGCAGTACAAATTTCCTGAAGTGTCGCTTTAATGGTCTCTATCCAGACAGCCTCATGGGTTTGAGGCTTCAAATTCTAATTGAAGTCTGTCTGAAGGTTTCTGTCTTGGTTTTTTTTAATCATCATCCATCACCGAGAAGCCGTTACTCATGTGCACAAATCTAAAACGCTTAGGAAAACTTTCTGTAACCGAAGCCTCTTCCTGCAGCCCTTCCATTGCATTTGTGACATGACATCATGAACAATGAGCTCAGGTGTAATGATTTAATGAGTTGTTGTGCTTGAAACCCACACTACAGCTGCAGCACATCCCCTCCTCCAAATGGGTTATTATCCTTTGGAGGAGCATTAGTCGTTTATGAGGCAAAGCTCACTCAGTTTTCTATTGATCCTCCCTGTGATGAACTGCAGAGTTTGTCCAAATGCATTGCTGGCACAATAGTGCAAAATACATGATTGTTTTTCTTGTTTGGTCAGCGATATTTGCAGAGGTGTTCTGTGCTGATTTACAGACAATAGTGGAGGTTTTGGGGGTTTATTTGATGTTTGGAGCCCTGGTATGATTTCTCCACGTATTAAAGTAGTCAAATCACATGCATGTCATTTCTGAGCTGTTTGGCTGGCTGTAGTTGCAGATTGAGATGACG